TAGTAGTAGAAGCTAAGAAGCTAAGAAGCTAAATGAGGATCCCTTTTTGATTCTCAGCTACCATTTCCCCGAGTCCCGCCGTCGTTCTGTCGCCCGTCGCTACGCTTCCCAGGACTGGCGCCCGGGCAAGGGCGGTGAGCTCCGCGTGCACGCGCCCAGCGATCCCAACGGCGCCCGACCGGATCCCAAACGCTTTCAAGCGCTCGAGCCGAAGGCGCCTGTGAGGAGGTTTTGACCATCGAAAGGATGTCATTGCGAGCGATTCTTTCAAGCTTCTTTGTTGTTGTTCTTGTTGCTGCTGCTAGTGTTGTTGTTGTTGTTGTTGCTGCTAGTGTGGTTGTTGTTTTTGTCGTCGTTGTTGTTGTTGGTAAAGACAAAAACAGCTGCCCAACATAGTTGTCACATGTTGCAAGTCAGGGATTTCAAAGGGACACTGTTAGGGATAGGGTCGAAGGTTTGGAGAGATGTTAGTAGTTGGACTTCTTGCCGTTGTGGTACTAAAGTCTTGGTTGGTTTGTTTCTTGTTTTTTGATGTTTTTAAGGGTGTTGTTCTGGGGGGTAAAAAACAACAACGGGGTTGCAGATTTTGATTCTAGGGGGGGTAGAGACAACAACATCTTTCGGAGGGGGGGTTCCAAAAAAACAACAACGGGGCTGCAGTTTTTGTCTCTAGGATGTGGTAGAGGTTGCAAGTAGAAGTTTTAGAGAGGTTTAGCTGACCGGACCACTACTACTACTACTCCTCCTCCTACTCCTACTCCTACGACTACTACAACAACTGCTACTACTAAGTACTACCTGTCTAAAGTTTTGAAGTTTGCATATTTTTGGCTCATAAGTATCAAGTCTGACATCTTCATCCGTAGTACTCTGTGTTTTCATCTTCTGTGCTCGACAACTCTTTCACATCGACATGTTGCGAGCGAGGACGCAGACGTCAGGAAAGCAAGCCAGATGAAGAGCAGTTCCAGCTATTGTTCTTTCTGTTGCCGCGTGGCGTGTCTGTTCCCAGTGCCTTTCCAGTGCCTTTTCAGTGCCTTTTCCAGTGCCTTTTCCAGTGCCTTTTCACGGTTTGTGTGCGCCTGCCAGTGATTTTGCCATGTGACTCACTTTTCTGCTAAAAGAGATAGCTTTTCTTTTTGCTTCAGCAAAACTTACCAGACACACATTTTTGCTGGCAGGGCGACGAGAAAGTGCAAAAGGCACTGGAAAAGGCACTGGGAACAGACACGCCACATGGCAACAGTAAGAACAGTAGCTGGAACTGCCCGGCATCACTTGAAAACAACACACGCATGTGCGTCTGTAGGTCTCCGGTCGCCGTCCACACCCAGTACCGTAGATGGACGAAATATTCAAACCCTTTCAACCACGTGGGCCGCTTCTACCCCAAAGCTCAATGTTAGAGATGTTGCAAGAGTGTTTCGGCGAATGGACGAAGCAAATCAAACCCTGGAAACACAAATTCAATCAAGTTATGTTCAACATTGACCTTTGGGGGCCAAGGGTTGGCGGCAGTTATTGATACAAGGGCTTGAATACTTGGTGCATCTACTGTAGTACCACTACTACTAGCACTAGTACAAGCACTACCACTACTGGTAAAAGTACATGTTGGCTGGTTGTTTTCGGGGGGGGTCAAAAAACAACAACGGGGCTGCAGATTTTGTTTCTACCCCCTTGTAGAGACAAAGGAACAAGATCTGTTGTAACGGGGGTGCAATTTTTGTTTGTACCTTGTTGTTGTTGTTGTTGGTTTTTCAGAAGAACCGTCGTGGCGCAACATGGCGCCAAATTTGGGGGCTTTCGCCCGGGCCCTTCCCTGCCCACAGGCGGGCACTGTGGTGATCTTTGATAGTCGCAAGGTTTGGCGTCTTGGCATCGAAATGGGGCGGGAGCGGTGGACATGGCATCGGAATTGGATTGTCCATCTCACATTCTCCATGATGGCCATGGTTTTCACATTAGAGACATAAAGTTACACGAATTTGATAGGACCTGTAACAAAAGAACCCCTAAAGCTACTCACTGCTAACTCATCCAATTAATCCCATTCTCTTTTGGGAGCCAGGAGAACCGTTATATACTGTGGATAAATTCATAATACTAGATCCTCTCACAATGTGGGGACTTCAAACATTCCGCATGGTAAATGAAGATGGGGGGACCGTTGACCTCCAAGTAGACAGATGTTTTTGCGGACGACACCAGGGGACAACATCAGGGACGGCTGCAGGTGCTGAACCTTGAAGTCGGACTCGCCTCAACTGGTTTGACCAGCGGTCTGACGAGCAGACGGCCGCAGACCCCAAATCAGCTCGGATCGATGGTGCCAAATTGAAAAGGACATCGCAGAAGTCTGTATCTTATGGGATTTTCTCTGGTGCCAGATGTCCGGCACGTGCATCATCTGACAACGATACGACGATACAGGATATCATAGCGTATCATAGGAGATCCAACGGTCGTCCACTGTTTAGTGTGGTGTGTAGGCAGCGAGTAGTATAAACGGGTATCAACGCTGCCACCCGGAGGACTTCTACCTTCCAGCCCCCCGGAGCCACCGACCTCCGTCGTGCTCCAAGGCATGCTGTGGCGCCATCGTTGAACGGGGATCGCTGGGCAATGACCTTGTGGATACATTGACGAACGCGTCTGGCTCATGGGCACTAGCGAAAACAGCTAGATGAGCACTTGTTTGGGGTGCTTTGGTTTGGTGAGACAAACCCATTCCAGCAAAACCCATGAAGCTTTGGTTTGGTGCGAGTTCTTCTTCAAAATGACAATCAATCATCATCAATCATCTGGCTTAATTCAGCTCGAATGTGGACACACTGACCAACCCGGGTTGTGGTTGCTCGCCCTTCACCGTTCGGCTAACGACCTGTATACGTTTGTTGCTGCTCCCACTCGCTTGGTGGAGAAAAGAGGAACCATACAGGTAGCCAGCGGGCGCCAGGTGTTGTCATCCGGTTCCCATCCAGCCAGCGGCTTTCACCAGGATACTCAAAAAGGCTAGGTGACGGCTCTTCAGTGTTCGAGGTCCGTTGTATACTCCATCTCGAGGGTCCCATCAAGTTGACCCAAGGCGAAGAAGCTATACACCTAAAGATCCAGTGGTCAGCTACATTGGCCCCGAGTCATACCCAGATCAGCTCTGCATATTGAAGCCTACCACAGCAGTGGATTGCCCGAATGCCTTTGTGGAGAAAAGGAGGTTCGTTGGAGAAAGAGGAGCGTGGGAAGGTTTGAGGGTCTGCAAGATAGACCACTTGACAGGGGACGGGTTTGTTGAGAGGGGTTCTAGACCACCTGAACTGAACATCGCAGCTATTGTACGTGGGTAGAAATGTTTTCAGAGGTGACCAGTTGCGTTGCGCTCAATGATTTGCGTCCCTGGCCCTGGCTTTTGGCAGATAAATCACTTAGATACCCTTCCAGAGTAGCGAATCAGCGTCCTGAATCAGGGTCATGCTCCCAGAATCAGCGTTGGGCTTCCAGAATCAGCGTCTAGAGCAAAGGTCTTGGAACTAAATTTGGAAGCTGTCCACTCCATGCATGCTGGAGTTTGAACTCCAATTCAATCGCTTGAAATACTGTATTCAGTTGCTTTGCATTGTTTGGTTTCTCTGAGGGTTGTGATTTGGGGCTTGGCGTGGTGAGGCAGGTTTGGCTTTGGGTTGTCGGTGTTCTCGCCCCAGGAAGCCAGGCAAAAAGTTCTCATGTAAGCGCATATCAAGTTGAGGGAGTGGATTCGTGGAGATAAAAGTGACAGGTATTTTTTTTCAGGGTCACACGGCTTTGGGTTTGGCAGGCTTGGCGGCTTAGCTTTGCGTTGTCAGGGTCCTTGCGTGTTTGGGCTGGCTTGGTCAGGGTCCTTGGACAACATCCGACCCTGAACATCTAATACCTGCGCACGTGAACAACCCATGCACGAGCGTATACGCGTGTGCTTACGGTTGGAATGGCTCGTTACTTGTTTGAATTTTGCCACCGGCTTTTTGATTGGACTGGCCCTGGCTTGTGCCTGTTGCTCCGGATTTTACCATTGAGTGGCCCACAAGAGGTGTGCAATGTCGGAATGGTGACCTAGAAAAGGAGTTAGAAAAGGTGTGCAAGGTTGAATGGCGCCGGCTCCTTCCTGCTCTAAATTTTGCCCTCGTCCAAGGTTGGGGTGGCCTTTGGCTGACCCACAACAGGTGTGCCATGGCTCCTTATTGCTCCTCTTTGCTGTCAAATTACTTTTGGGTGGCCTGCAAACGTGCGGAAGGTTGGAATGTCTCCGACACCTTCCGGCTCTAAGTTTTACCATCAGGCCTACAAAAGGTATGCAGGGTTTGGCCGGCCCGCCTCCTTCCTGCTCTAAACGTTCACCCTTGGGTGGCCCATGGAAGGTAAGGTTTGCCCATTCCTGATCCAAAGTCGTATCTTCAGGTGGCCTGTATAAACCGTGCAAGGTTGGAATCATGGCCCTTGATACAATAGACCAACCACTCATACAGAGCGCATCAGGGACGTGGATCGAATCGAAGCTCCAGGATGCAGAAAGTCGTGTGCATCAACGAGCCAAAAAAATAACGAGTCAACCGTCTTCAACCGTCTTCGGTATAGGGAATGGTCACATCCGTTGCCATGGTTCTGATTCGACCCAGCGGATGCCGATTCGATCCACCCTCGTTCTTCTTGACAGCTCCCAATTCTGGCCCTCCCGATTCTGGTCGACACATTGTAGGTGGGACAAAGACTTTTTCTTGGCACGTAAAAATAGGTGGAACTCCAGCTCCTCAACCAACTCAAATCAAACCAGACGTGTCGAGCAGATGTTTCACATCCTGGTTTTTGTTTGTTTACAGGTGATGTTCTATTTTCCCTATGGGTCAATTTTCCCAAATCAGGGGAAGATGAGTTCTCTACCGATTCCTGGGTTCCGCCGCAGCCAAGACATCCATCCCCGTCCCCGTCCCCGTCCCGCCCCGGTTCGACAGCGGCCGAACCGGAAGGCTGTCGGGTGGAGATCCCTCAGACGCCGCTGGGAATGCACCGGTCGCATCGTAAGCCGTCGCGCGCCCCGTGCGCATCGGTGTGCATCGCAGGGTCGGTGTTTTGGAGGGATGGATCGCAGCATGAGGAGTTTCCTCAGGTGTTTTTGGTCAAGCAGAAGTGGTCAGGCCCTATGGTCCAACCCAAAAACGAGCTTGGGGACTGGCACGGCAGTCTGCGCAGCACCGAAACCAGCAGACTCCTCGCGCGCGAATCGTGACTCGTTCCCTCTTTGGGATCCGCAGGACGGGGGGGAAGGAAAAACCCGGTGAGGTTTGGCGATCGCCAGACAGCAGAGGTGTCATGCAGTTGAATGGGTCGCAGTCCAAGCAGCTCTTCTTTGATCTTCTTTGCTCTGACCTGCTACCTGCTACCTGCTGCTTCATATGCAAGATGCCACTCCAGTTGGTTTCCCATCTATGCGGGGACACGGTCTCCTACGTACCTCTGCAGCGGAATCAGCCGCTGGACTCGTCAGGCAAGACTATCATGGACACTGAAAACCACTGGTTGGTAGAGGAAAATAGTGTTCCATGGGGTCAGGACGGACCCGGGTCTATGTGAGTTTTGAGTGTAGACTTGACCGTACCTGGTGACTGCGCAAGGCCCGTACCGTGCGCCAGAGTTGATGAGGGGCTAGAGATTATTGGGGGTACGCACCTGCGCCAGCGGAGGAGTTGATTTGTTCTTCTGGAATACCTCCACAGTCATGGCTGCATTAGAACAACATTGCCCGAGATCCTCATGCTGCACTCCAGAGGAGTGCAGCTACTGGGCTTGTTGCAGCTTTTCTGCCAGAGTTTCACGAGCACATCCACAACATGTGCAGTGGACAACATGCTGAATATCGGGGTGACTAGCACCTTTTCTGAACCTTGCTGGTCAAACATGTGCTTGTAATTACTCAAAGACGGCCACGGCTGATGAACTATGAACATGCTTGTATGAAGGTTCAATGTGGCATACATTCATCATCCAAGCACCCAATCCCAGGCCAAAGAGTGCTTTCTCCTGGATTTGCACTAGAAATGATCATTTTCGATCACCCCGTTGGCCCCGTTGGAGCCTCAAAAAGCTAGCGGATGAGATCTGGTCTCCCTCTGAGGCCTGGTCTCCTTCCAGGCAGGTGAGGGGCGCTGCTGAAGGGCGTTGATGTGCGGCTGAACCAAGAGTTTCCAACGGTAGCTTTTGGTGGCGCGAGACTGGCGCTGGCGCACCATTCTGGTTCCAGGTGGCAATTCTTTGGCCTTATTTCGGATAGCTCAACACCAGGGAGATTCAAGAAGGTCGAGTTCCTTGATTGATGTTTTGGCCCTACACCTTCCTATTGGAAAAGTCTTACACCTTCCTAACAGGACGGCAAGCGACGTTCCCTATGTATAAATAGCTAGACAGAGGACATGTAACAGTAACTGGGTTTTCACAACCACAACAAGTGTCTTGCAGCTGTGCCCAAGAGTAAAACAATGAGTAAAACAGGATATCCTCAAAAGCTTCTTTAAACTTGTTTAAGACGCAGGCAACATGCAATGTTCAGTATCAGGCAAGGTGGAAAGACATTTTTTGATGCGTGATGACAATGGTTCACTGGGGGACAGACAGAAGTTTACTTGATTGCTTAAATACATAAAAATGGTGGTTTTGGATGACGGGACCAAGTTGCATGAAGGAGGGTAGGTTCAACCAAGGCTAACCACTGTCAAAAAGGAGAAAGGGTTTGACGAGAACGAACTTGAGATAAGGATTGACATTCTGCAGAGGATGAGATTCTTGTCAAGGAGAAGGCCTTGACAGAGGTTAACAAAAAAGAGAAACTTTTATATTAAATTAGAGAACACCACTACGGTATTTTTGCAAAATACGACGCACACATCTATCTATATATATATACAGGCTTTAGCAACATGTATGTTTACCCAGGTTTGAGGGCAGCCAAGTGGATAACACTACATACTCACATATACTCACGACTGTTGTTGGTAGCAACATGTTGGGCATGCTACAATGCTTTCCAGCAGATGCTATATAGGTTTGCTATGGTTTGCTAGACCCGTGGGCAGCAAGGACAACAACCGAAAGTCCACACAAAGGGTGTGAGCCTTTGAGTCATTGGGCGCCGACCAGGTCTTGACCACCTCCATCTCCGAGGAATCAGTCAAAGGTGGTTGCGGTGTTTTGACCTTCCTTAGACGAAGAAGCACACTCCAAAACCAACATCCCTTGCAATAGGGGGATGGCAAAACCAAAAAGCAAACCGTTAACACAACAAAAACTCGTGCACAACATGTATCAACAAGAAAGAAAGGCACACACCCATATGTTCTAGATTGAGGCTGCACTGGTTTTTTTCCTTCTTCTTTTCTCTTTTTGGAGTCACACATGGATGATCGCAGAACGAACACCAAGAAAACAAAACGCAGAGCAGATCTGCCAACGCTGCTCTACGCAGATCTGCCAACGAAGAAAAGGCGAAAAAGAGATGGGAGCGAATCCAAGAGCATGGCAGCGAAAAACCTCCGCCACCTGGCCCTACGGTTGGAGGCCATCGCTCTTAGGTAGGTTAGGCCATCGCTACTAGGCCCTACTCCCTCGTTTAGTGGCTCCATTCATGACTGGCAGGCTTGGTGGCTCTAGGCCCCCAATCTGAGAGTGGCCAGCGTTGGCACCCCTAAGACGGGGGTCCAAAACTGGATGTGTTAGCCGCGAATGTCCGGAGCATTGACATTCCTAGACACTTCTCCTAGTTGCACATGGAAGATGAGGGTCAGTGCAACACCAACTAGGTTTCTTCTGGGGAATCCGCACCAAAACAGCACCTTTTCTTGCACTGCACACCATGTTCTCCGTTCCACCTGTCCGGTCTGTTTGGACCACCGAGCCGGTGGTCCGCTTCGAGCGTCGCTTCGATGCCCAAAGGGTCTCCGAAGCAGCGATCCTCGTCGTCTGCTCGAAAAGAGCTCGCTGACTTCGGGCGGGTTTTGGACCGCGTTGGGACATGTCGAGATAAAATTGGGACCAAGAAAAACACGTGAAGACACACTACTGGACATTTGTGGTATTGAATTTGATGTACGGAATAAGGATATCTTCTCCAGGAACAGGGGAACCATTGGGAGGATCGTTTTCTACTTGCATTGCTAAGCGCGAGTGTTTGTAGAGCGCCGACCAACCTGCTTTGCTCCACAGAACCTCTATTTGTTCACTCCTCTTCACATTTCTGGTGCCTTCAACACCTTGAGTTGACTGATAGACCTATCTCACAGTTCGGAAGCCCACAGAGATCCAAGAAAAGAAACTAATTGTTAGAAGGACATCCTGATGCGTCCATGGGCTCGTGATCCATTTGGATTGCAACAAGCGTTCATGGGTAGATGAGCATTCTATCCATAGATCTCAAAAAACAACACGAGTCACTCTTTAAAACGTGATCATGGTCTTTTCAGCACAGGTACAGGTACTAGTCATTGACGTACTATGAATTTTGATCGTCCCATAGAGCCCATCGTCGTGATTCCAGCGACGGGAAGCAGCGACAAACGTCGCATGGGCGGGATGTTTGTGAATTCGCAGGCGAACGGGGCCCAAAAGCCGATCTGGGTGGAATTGTGTCGTGTCCAGGCAGGGTTTTACTCTACTGACCAGGAAGTAGCACACCCTGATATGATCTGAATATCATTTATCCGATACCCAGACACTCCGTGTATGCCATATATGCCTACATTGACCCCCAAAACCACCCTAATGTAGGCATATATATGGCATGCATGGAGTGTCTGGGATGTAAAATCAAGCATTTTTAGAATCCAATCTTGTGGGAGAAATCTGAGAGATCCTCCTAAACTTATCAGGGAAGTTGGCGACGTAAGCGATGTCAGACTCATGAGGAGTCTGACGAGTGTAGGTCGACACACCTCTGAATCAAGTGCTATCCGCAGGGCCCAAGGCTTGCTTAGGTACATGACATTTGATCACAGCAGCTGAAAAGATGCAGGGGGTAACTGAAACGCTTTGGTTGTATCTTCAAGACTTAGCGCATCATTGTGGAACCAAGGCCTGCCAAATCCTATCCAAGGGCGAATCGATTCAAACAAGGACGGAGTCGGGACTCTTCCCAACTTCAACAAACATCCAAAAACCAACCCTGGCCGGCCCCTCAAATACATTGAGTAGACTGTCAGTAGACTTGGCGGGTCTCGGCGAGGTCGTGGCGAGAACGGCAGCTCTCAGCTCGTTGGGGAGCGGATCCTCCCGACTCCGACCACGCGAGCCGCATCCGCATCCCACGCGATGGCGGACGACGAGCGGAGTTTGATGGGCGGCTCGTCTTCTGGAGGACCCGAGCACAGGCCGAGGGGTCCAGCACAGCAGGCCCAAGCCCAGGTCTCATATCGATTTGCTTCAAGGGACTATCCTTCCTGAATAAATGGGAGAAAGACATCAGTGTACCATATAGTATGTATCATTGATGGATCAAGTCCTAAATGGACCACAGAGCTACACCCAGTGGCGCTGGATGTGGATGGGTTCTTTGCTAACCGAGTGGTGGTGTTTCATGTAGTGGAAGGCTTGCCGAATCTTATGAAGACCTTGTTGAAATCTGGTCTTTTTTCGGGCTTTCATCTCCCCCCAAACCAGCCAAAACCCTCCCAGTCTCAGGACCATCGGACTTCCGAAATCAGGGAGCCCAGGTCCTCAGGTATCGTTTTTTTTTTTGGAACAAAGAGTCTCAGGGGATCGGCTCCGATCGTCACCGAAGTTCGACCGGTCGCCCAGCTCGCTCTGCGCGGTTTTGGTGCTGCCAGACCTTGGTCCAAGAACTCTCTCAGCAACAGCGAGGACGAAACGGGCGAGAGTGGAGAAGCAAACAGAAGCATGCACAGTGCATATCCCTAAAGCCCTGAAGAGGCAGATTGTGATAGACATGTTTTTCAGGTCCAGTGTTGCAAATAGAGTGAAGGATACAAACTTGGATCATTTTGATGAAATACACAGTTCTGATTGAAACATCACTTTATCATACTTTATCATCAGTCCTTAGGTGAAACATCCAAGCAGCGCACATCTCGTCAGGTGCCCCGCACCAACTTCCGAGAGGCGACGTAGCGTGGTGGACGCGACGTAGCGGACACGTTGTCCCAGCGTTTTACGGACGTTGCGCCCCGAGTGACGGGATGCAGTTTCAGCATGCAGTTTCATCATGCAGCTTCAGCATCGTGAATTCGTTTTCGCTTTTGGGGTGAGGGTTCGATGCTATGATATAATAGTTGAAAGAAAGATGCTATGATATGGCTGATATAGTTGAAAGAAAGATGCCGGAGTGCACAGTTTTCTACATCAACTAGTGATTGGAAGTGGACGCACGATGGCAAGCTGTCTCACGCGACATCGGTTGATCCGTGGAGAGTTGATCCATAGGACCGGGTCTGTCCGTTCTGACCTGTAACAGTCTGTAAACAAAGAGGCCTTGTCCAAAGAGGTCTGTGATATGTCTTTTTTGCACAAGTCCTCTACTAACCATCATCATCCACTACAGGTAATAGGATAGACCCAAATTATCACTATTTTAATTTTAGAGATGGAAAGGCCTGCAACTGAGCCATCATCCACTGTTACTGGCAACAGGATAGACTCAAGTTGCAAAACTACTAGGGTGACCATGCCCACTAGGTTGGAGGCCATCGCTCCTAGGTTGGAGGCCCTCGCAATTAGGAGTCGGTGGACCCAACATAGCATGTTCTTGTTCGGGGTCGGTTCTGAGTTTCGGATGCGCCCTCTCCAGATGTCGTATTTTTCCAGACAAATCGCTCGTCATGGGATTGGCTGGGTAAGAAAAGGAACACTCATGGACTCTACAGTGAATGGTAGGCATGTGTGGAGACGTAGGGATTCTGTGACTCGCAAATGTTCATCAAATCACGTGTCTCAAACACATCCAAATCTGGAGATCGACCATGCCGTGAGCAGTAGGTACCAGATAGTTCGCCTAGTTTCATGTTAGGGCCACCCCAATGGCTGGTTTTGCAGCGGAGCCCGAGGCGCTGAAGATTCATTTGGCAGACTTCCAAAGCAGGCTCATCGCAGAGTGCGGGAGCCTAGGTGGGTCAGTTCCTATCCCAATCAGGGCCAGAACAAGTAATTAGATGAGTTTGACAAGAATTCCAAATGACTCACCCTGCCGCCACAAAGTATTCGCTGATTCAACCCCCAAAAGGGTGTTGGCTGAGAAAAAGCACCAGGCACACTGGTCAGGGGAACAACGGTTTCCTTGAGCGAGCAAATGTGCGTGTGTGTTTTGACTGTAAACAAGTCATAGGCATGAATGGCTACACTCCTGGCTCTGTGCGTTTGGAATCAGCAGACCGCTTTATTTTCGACTTCCCCTACTTGGCAATAAGAACCTGCTGCCATTTTCTTGGCAAAAGATCACAGAGATGAGTTGCAATAAGGGCAAAAGTCAACAAGCAACTTTCCTGTTTGTCTTCAGATTGTCCCACACTAATCATAGAGTAGGGGAGCATGTGACAATAAATTCAGACATGAAGCCAGACTTTTGACCTTTGTCATTGTGTCACTGTTCAGACCTACTGGTGCACAGTGTCTACCTACAATTGGCGTATCTGGAGTTCCACTGATCATGTAAGAGGAAATTGGTCGCTATTCAGGGTGGTCACACAAAAAACATACACACATGAAGTGCCTTCAAGTTCCCTGATGATTACAAATGCATGAGGGCGTTTAATAGATGCGGCAATGCTCCAAACCCTGGCAAACAATCAGGGACTCACAAGTTTGACGATGCAATAGCCGTACCTCACATGCATACACTAGATATCTGATTATTATATTCACATATATATATATATACATACATATGATCGTGGAAGAGTTAGACTATGAAAACATGAAGCACTTTCAACGCAAGGCCATGTTCTTATGGGTTTTGTAGCTACTAGGAGCCAAGGGCATTGCTACGAACGGAGCAAAGAAGCTACGATCGGGGCTCCTGGCATCGCTACTAGGAACAAGGACGCTACTAGTAACAAAGGGCATCCCTACTAGGCATTCCTACAAGGGCATCCCTACAAGGCCATGTTCTTCTGTTTTTGTGTTCTTTCCTACATATTTCATCTATAATGAGATGGCGGCAGGTCAGATAGTCCTTAGGTTGCATAGGCTTCGGAGAAGCCGCTTCGTAACGGTTGTTTCGGTCGTCGGTCGTCGGCCGTTTTGGGTCTGGGAGACCCAAGGCGGCCCAGAACAGCGTCGTGCGCACGTGGTACATATGGATAGAAGAGTATGTCAGTATGTCCCATCAAACAGTTGTACATTTGGAAGGAGTTGGCATCGGTTTTGGGACGAACAAGGTCTGTTTTGGTAATCTCATCAGTGATTGGTATGATTCAAAGGTCTTCAAAATCCAAAGCCATTTTAGCCTGCCCTGTCCAAGGTTCGGGAGGGCTCAGAGATGGTCTACTCAACACAAACACCCACAAAACTGATATCAGGAGTTGGTTGTTTTGTTTCACTGGATTTTGCTTGAGGTGATTGTGTACTTTTGTTTGGACAGCCCCAAGTTCACCTCTTGCAGCCCAGCGTGAAACCTGTGTTTCTTCAGCCGCTCAGCGCTCTGCCGGGTAAAACCGGGCGCGGAGCGCTCCGCTGCTCCTCAGGCATGAGAGTCGCCTGGCGCCAGACCTCCAGAGGCAGCGTGACGTCAGTTTCGCCTGGCTCCGGTGAG